TTCAGTCTCTGACACTCCTGTGAGGTGGGCACTGGCGTTGTCCCGTTTTACAGAGGAGGAGACTGATGGTCACAGTGGACCAAGCGTCTTGCCTTATACCTAATGGCTTGTAAGTGACGAACTGGCGGACGGTCCCGGGGAGCCCATTTTCAGGGCTCTCCCCCCGTTTTATACCTTCTCTCCAGACACTGTCATCTAGCACATCTGTCCCGCTCAGCGAGATCTGTTGGGTGACTTGTGGAAGGGTCACTTTCCTGGTGAGGATGGACCAGCTTCCATTCTGGGGCTCTTGGGCGATCACTGGATGCCTTTTCTTCTCCCTGTTCTATGGACAAGCAGGACAAGGAGAAAGGAAAGTCAGTGGACGAGCCAGAGCGAGGCTGCCCGGATTGGCCAGGAGAGCAATTGATGAAAAGTTTTCAGTAGCATCGCATCTTTTCCTAGGCGCTGGCTCCAAAATCAGCTTTAAGGGGAAAGTCAGGTACTGTGGAAATGGCCATAAAAACCTCTTGCAAAGGCGCCACTCAGAGACCCCGCCCCCGTCCCTGCCGTGGGCCTGCCCAGGCCCTGCGGTTGGCGGTGCGTCCTCCGTCGTGCTCATTCGCCGGCCAGCTGTCCGCCGCAGAGCTTGTCCCCGGGCTGTCCTGTCTCCGACTTTTACTTCTTCTGTCGACCTGGGCTGCCTGCCTGGCTTTGACCAACCCTGGGTGGGGCCCCGGCCCTTCCTGGTTCAGCTGCCGGGTTCCAGGCCGTTTCCAGCCTCCCAGCACGGCCCCCCGCTCCCCTTTCTTCTCCCCTCCCCAGCCCCACCTCCCCTGCATCTGCGAGTTGCCAGGGAGCCCCGGGGAGCAGGTGCCCCTGGGGAGGCGGCTGACACAGGCGCCCACCTCACACCACTCGCTCCGTGCTGCTGGAGCCCAGAGGCCTGGCATGCAGGCCTTGGGTCTCACGGGCGTGTTTTTGATGGCGCCAAGGCCGTCCTGTTGCATGGGGGACAAGCTTGGGGCACTCTCAGGGGTGGGCGCGGGGTCACTTATGAGCCCACTGCTACGTTGGGGGACAGCCGTCTTTATACTCCCATGGGGCAATCAGCTACCCACAGCTTGTGATCCCAGAGCGGAGAGAACGTGGCGTTCTGATCCGTCTGAGGCCCTGACAGAGCCTCAGGGTGCTAAACACACCCGGGATCTGCCGGTGAGGCCCTGTGCGCCCGCTCCAGGCTGCACGCCCTCCCCCGCTGCGTGCACGCTAGCGCATGTGTGCACACTCGCCGCTGCACCCCCACCCGCGTGTATATGCCCTGTCTGGTGTGCACACTGGCCATGCACCCCTCCTCTGCTTACACATGTCCTTCGCTCAGCAGTGGACGTCCCCGTGCTCCCCTGAGCCTGTGCAGGGTGGGCGTGTGTGCCTTGGCCTCATTAAAAAGTTAGAGGTGGGGTCTGGGGAAGCTCCAGAAAGCTCCCTGCTCCCCTGGCCGGCTGGGCAGCCCCTTGGGGTGTCATCCGTGTTGGCCGCTGTGCGGATTGGGTTTTCTCTGAGATGCGCATCCTCTGATTCCACGTTAGCGATGGCTCGGGCCCCCAGAGAGCGCCCGGCCGCAGCTGCAGGGGGGCCTTCCTGCCTCTCCCGCCATCCCTTCCAGTTACCTCACTGTTGCAGTGACCAGTCCGGAGAGAAGGGTCCGGCTGGAGGGGAGAAAGGCCTGTCCACTTGCAGCGTTGGGTAGCACGGGGCCTCGTGATGGTGGCGGTGGGGTCGGGTATCACTTTTTCTCATTGAGAACCTATAAAGGGTAGTGTGTTTGTAGTTTCAAAAAGCAACGTGAGGGCCAGGGGATGGGACGTTAGTGGGGTGAACGCCAGCAGTTGCAGGAAGATGCATTCACGTCCAAGTCCCTCGATGAGTTGGCCCACAGGCCCTCGCTGTGAGGGACGTGGATCTGGACGTGCCGGCGCGTGATGTGGCCGCTCGCCCACGCCGCTGTCTGCCACCCCAAACGTCCCGTGATGGCCGGCGTCAGGCTGCTGTCTCCCTCTCCCCGTCTCTGCTCGCTTGTCGCGCCCGGGACGAGCCGCGAGTCCTCCCAGGAGCTCCCAGAGGGCAGATGTTTTCACGTCGCCTTCCCACGCTGGCCAGAGCCGGATCTTAGGGAGGGGAGGACTTGGCATCTTGGGGACACCCTCCAGTCCAATGACGTGGGAGGTCACACTTCTCAAGCAAAGAGCACGGCGTGGGCCCAAGGGTGGGGGCTGTTTGTGCCGATACCTGGGGTACACGTGGGGAAAAGGAGGGGGCAGTCCCCCATTAACGTCTTGGTCCCCGTGGCTGACGAGGCGCAGAGGCCCACGCAGACCTCACCAAAGGTGCCCGACAGAATGGTCCGCGGCCTCTTAGCAGAAGCAGACGTATGAGCACGCGCATGGACGGTGCGGCGTGCAGGGAGCCGCTTTTCGGGCGTGGCGGCGAGGGCCGTCAGCAGCGGGTCCTCTCGGGCCCAACTTGCCTCTGTTCGCTTTCAGCATTATCTGCCTGTGTTTCGGAGGCTGTCTGGTCGGAATCGGCTTAGCGAGGAATATCAGTTTTGTCTGATGCGAGGTCTCACCGTGTTTACAAAGCCGCAGAATTGCAGCGCACCCCAGCTGGATCTGGCCGAGCAGGACGCCGGCTTCGGTGCCAGCCCAGATCGTCCCGCTGCATTTCATTGTCTTCGTTCTGAGTGAAGAATGACGTGCACTTGGAAAGGAGAGAACACTTCTTTAGCATCTTGTCCTGTTGCTCGTTGAGGTGGACGTCCCCTCTTGCTGTGTCTCAGGGTTAAAAGGGAGCATGTTCTGCGAGGCTCTGGTGGGGGTGCGACACGGGGGTGGATGACCACGTGGCAGTGCCAGGCAGAGCAGGACTAGTCAATTCCGAGAGCTGTTCCAGCCGTAGGTGCTTGGGCCACTGCTGCGGCAGGCGACAGCATCATCCCACTGAATCTTCTCCATAGTCTGATGACTCGGGTACCATTACTATCTCCATTTTCGAGATGGGGAAACTGAAGCCTAGAGGTCGAATCACTTGCTCAAGTTTGTGCAGCTAGTTAGAGGCAGAATTGGGCTTTGATCCTGGTGTCAGGGCACAAGCCAGGTGGCTTGCTGCTTCCACTGGCCAGCTGGCCAGCAGGCCGTGTGCCTCCTGGCTTCCATGGGGCCGGTGGGGGGAGGCCACTTTCCAGTCCCGAGGTGCCAGGATTCAGGACAGGACCCTCCGTGCCTCAGCACACAGCAGGTCCTCGGTTTACGTCATCGATGCACAGGTGACCTCTGTGACTTTAAGTGAAATGACGTACAACGAAGCCAATTTTGCTCTACGCTAATGGATGTGAACAAGAGTTAAGTTCCTGCAGCATCTCATCTGTATTATAATGAAATGATGTCATTCGAAGACCCTCTGTACCCTGGTTTCGGGAGCAGCCTCTGAGGCAGACGGCCCATGGCGTCAGCCCAAACTCTGCCTGGACTCTTTGGCTGTAAGACCTCAGTCATGCCACCTCACCTCTCTGAGAGTCTGTTGACGAGGCTCAAACGCAGTAATGCCTGACGAGCACTCAGCACAGCGCCCGGCTCACGGTGTGTGCCCACGTAGACAGTGACGGTGCCCAGAGAGCTGGGGGCACGTGGCAGCTTCTGCCTGCACATGTGGAAAATACTGTATACGTACATTCTGGGCTTCCACAGAGTTCCATTTTACAAAGCCCACGACCTTGCTGTATTATTATTACACATTCATGACTGCCGACCTTGAGGCTCAAACGCAGTAATGCCTAACGAGCACTCAGCACAGCGCCCGGCTCACGGTGTGTGCCCACGTAGACAGTGACGGTGCCCAGAGAGCTGAGGGCATGTGGCAGCTTCTGCCTGCACATGTGGAAAATACTGTATTATGTACATTCTGGGCTTCCACAAAGTTCCATTTTACAAAGCCCACGACCTTGCTGTAGTATTATTACACATTCATGACTGCCGACCTCGGAGAGGTGACCTCAGCATGGTCTGAGGTCTGTCTGGGTTAGGTGTCAGTGCAGAGAATAGCACCCCACACTTTGCCGACCTCTGGGAGTGGCTTTGTTCCTCTCTTGGGCTGAGGGGCTGTTGGTAGGAGGACGATGTCTGTGGAGTCAGGGAGACGTCTGAATCTCTGCTCTGTTCTGGCGAGTGGCAAATGGCTTCATTGCAAGTGGAAACTCTGATGATGGATGGCAGTGGCCTGCAGCACTGCTGTGATCGATTCGTGATGTCTGCCAGGGGCACAGGGCTGGGAAAGCAGACCGATGCTACATCCGGTTTGAAACATGCTGTGATCGATTCGTGATGTCTGCCAGGGGTGCAGGGCTGGGAAAGCAGACCGATGCCGCACTTGCTCATGTTCTCGTTGCATTCTGATTATTCTACATCTCTGCGAAACCAACACAGGCCTCTGGAGGCTTTTCCCCTTCCCCCCGATCCATGGGTATTATAAGCACCCCACAAATGACTTTTTTTCCTTGTCTCTGCTCCACCCCGACGATCTGTTTGTGCATCTTCGAAACTCACGGGCCCATCTCTGTTCTCTCTTACAGTCGAAGAGGGGGAGGCCTCGGACTTCTCGCTGGCCTGGGATTCCTCCGTGACAGCATCAGGTAACTGCCCCAGGGGCTGGGGGTGGGGGAGTTGCAGAGGGCCCTGGGGGGCCGACTCAGCAACTTGAAAAGCCACCCAGCTGGTTATGGAAATCACATTCCTGTGTCACAGTCATGTCTCCAGCCCAGACTGCCCTGTGCAACATAATTTTTATATCGGTTCCATATGGCCAATAAAATCTATTACATACGGAGACTAATATGCCCTGACTCTCCAGGGGGCCCCGTCTCTTTCTTGTGGGCACATTCAGATGGGCCACGGTCCCCCCGCTGCACGCGGGCTGGAGCGCTCCTGCCATGGGTGTCGCTGCCAATTCATTCCAGTCCAATTGCATAAAAGCCACTTTAGCGGGGCGTTTAAACTCCAGCAGAAATCACGGTTCCCACGCTCCCCTTCCTGGAAGGGGCTGCTTTTCCTCTGGGGCTGGCAGACCCGTGCCCATGCCTTCAGGGGAAGGAGATGGGGGGCAGCTCAGGCCGTGGGGTGCGCGGCCGTTGGGGGGTGATGGGGTGCCTTGGCAGTCAGCGGACGTGGGTTTTCAGCTCAGTTCCGCCCTTGCCTAAACTCCTTCTCTGTGCCTCAGCTTCTCTGGCTATAAGAAGTGGATGAATTGTAAAGGTCTATAATCGAGCTCCCTGTGGAGTTTGGGATGGGAGCCGGCTTTGGGAGCTCCTGTGTGGTGCACACGGGTCTCCTGTTTGCTCCACGTGCAGCCAGCACCCGTCCTGGTAACGGGGCCCTGGCTCACTGTCCTGCAGGGGCCAGGCTCTCCCGCCTGTCCCCTGTCCCAGGATTCTGAGCATCTCGCTCTGGCTCCATGCGGGGAGCTGGGCCAGTGCAGTCTTGTAGAAGCTTAGGCCCGAGAAGACCTACGAGGAGTTCCGCCTCCTCCTCTTTCAGATGTGGAAACGGGGGCGAGGAGAGATTTGCTCTGGGTCCATAGTATGTGGCGTCAGGCCTCAGGCCCATGGACGTTCAACGCTGGATCTGTCACACATCGAATTTGTGATTTCATGGTTGTTTGTGACTTAAGATGATGCTAAAGTCACGTAAGTGAGAAAATTAAGTTGACAAGGTTTTAAGTCGTAGTATGCAGTACTTGGATTCAGATGGTTCACGGATGACGGAAATTTGGGAAACACTGGTATAGGTTGGATGGAAGGGGTGTAGAGAGCCGGCTCTTGAACCCAGGTCCCTGGACCTCTGGTCCAGCGCTCTTTCCAGCAGCAGCCAGATGCTGTTGTAGAGCTGGATCCTTGCCAGGTCCTGGCTGACCCAGGCTTGGGCACTGTTGTGTCTGGCCCTTGGTGACAGGGGCTCCTTCCACGGGAGTGACCTTGTCTGAAGCCAGAATTGGGGGGAATGCTCAAATTCTCGGGAGGAGAGTCCTGCATTAGGACACACCTTGGGGTCCGCCTGGGAAGGTCGGGGAAGGGGCTGCGTGGCCCTGTCCTGTCTCCTGGGTGGGGGACATCCCCTCCCCATGGTTGGAGGAAACACAGTGGGTCGAAAAGGCTCCGTGTCTCATCCGGGCGTCCTGACAGATGTGGGGTATGTGTGCTCGGGCTTGCTCTGAAGATCCCCACTGTGCCCCAAACACCCAAACCAGGAAAGCGCCCAGCCTGGTGGTGCCCCTATGCGGCCCTCCCCCCACCCGCTTACCCAGTGATAAGCAGCGAGGGCAGATGCGGTCTGCGCTGGGGTGGAGGGCTGGAGAGCCCTGTGCGGGGGGCATCAGGAGCCTGGGGTGTACCCCTATGCTGGGGAGGAGTCTCTGGTCTGCAGAAGGCGAGGGTGATGCCAGGGGCAGTGTGGGGGTGCCTGGCCCCCAATACTCTGACTCTGTAGTGCAACGTGGTCATCAGGTCTCTCTGGGACGCTCGTGGGGCTTGTTTACTTCCAGCCAGGAGCCAAGCACCCCCATATCCGTGTGCAGGAAGAGACGCGTGGCTCCTGGTGGGGCCAGTGGCCCTCGAGGGCTCCGTGGTGCCATCAGGTTTGGGTTGTCTGCTTGGGGATGGGGGACAGGAGGCGGGCTTTGAATCATCCACAGCCCGGCAATGGGTCGTTTGGTTTTCTTTGGCCCATTTTGCTGATTTTTATAGTGTATACCTGTGATAAATTGTCCTTCCCAATCTTGTTGGGCTTGGGCTGTTAGAGTCGGCTGTATTCCCCAAGTTCAGGGCTTGTGAGATGGTGGCAGGACCAAGTCAGTTTGGGAGGCGGCCCTGGACATGGGGGGGCGTCACGTTATCGAGCGCTTACTTGGCGTGTGCCAGGCACGGAGCGAACGCTCTGCTGATGGCACCGCTGAGCCAGCATGACACCCTGAAGAGGTGGGCACCACATCCAGCAGCACCTCCGGCGTCTCTCCATGGGCCAGTTCTGGGGCGGCCATCTGGTGGAGGACCGGGCCAAAGGCCTGGCCGAAGCTGTTTTAGTGTGATGCTTTTCATTAAGCCGAGAAAATGTCACTTGGCCGCACCAGAGAATGGGGGCTGGTGCCAAGGAAGATTATGGGGACGCAGAGCCCCCCGAGCCACCTCGGCGCCGCTGCCGAGAACTGCCGTCCTCGTTTGGCGGGTGAGGGAGGAGGCTTGAAGTGGTCAGCGGACGATCCACCATCCCCAGCCAGTGAGCTGTGGAGAAAGACTTGAACCCAAGTCCTCCTGGGGTGTGACCTCTGCCATGCCTGGCACAGGGACCTGAAGGCGTGGCATTGTGGGGCCTTCAGGGAGGCCCTGGCGGTACGGGACCCAAGGTGGCCATGGAGGTCTTTGCTCACCAGGCCAGATGAATGCAGGGTGAGGGGAGCAGGGCGGGCTGAGGGCGTTTTACCAGGAGGAGTGCAGGGCTGTGGGCACAGGGCAGCTCTCTCATGTGGGGGCCCCGCCAGCCCCAAGTGCGGGCTTTTCATTGCGCCCTCTCCTGCCTGCTTTGCTCTGGCTCTGGGAGCATGATGGAGAACCCCAATAAAGAAGCAGGACGCACAGTGTGCTCCATGGTCACCCCTGGCCTCCCCTGGCCTCTCTAGCCCGTGGGGACTCTGGCCGCTGCCCCCAGGAGCAGCCTGGTCTGTTCTGTCTGTGGCCTCAGCGTCGGGGCCCTGACAGTGATGGAGAGGCTGGCCTGGTCTGGCCGGGCGGGGAGCAGAACGGCCAGCTCACGGTGTCTCTGGCTGGCCCGGGGGTCTCGGGAGGAGTGAGCGCCGGCTCATCCTCTCAGCTGGGAAATCTGGGGTGCTGACGGCAGAGCCTGGGAGGGAGCACGGCAAGCCAAGCCGAGGTGTGGGGGTGCCTACTGGGTGTGGGTTTGAAATGGTTTCCCAGTGGGTCCTGACTTATCTGTAAAATGGGGGATGAGGGAACAATACCTTATAACGAGACGGTTTAAGCGGGAGAAATTCTTAACCTGCAGAATGGCTCTGAGCAGCCCGTGGAAGCACGTGGATTCTCTCCCCAACTACACAGAGCGTTTTGCGTGTGATTTCGGGGGAGTTCACAGATTGCCCCCTCTCCCCCCCACCATCTTCTCCTTCCCTTGCTGGGCCATGGGTTCAAGAAATGCAAAAGTCCTCAGTGAAGGCCGCACAGGGCCCCCAAGCTCAAAGGTCCACCTGAGGCAGGCCAGGGGCACAGGTGGGTGGGTCGGCTGGGGCGGGGCTGCTGTAAACTGGCACACAGGCCCTGTCACCAGGGGCACCTGTTTGTCAGTGCCGGCAGCGGTGCCAAGGCACCTGGGCCTAGAATGATCACATCTTCTGAGTTTTTTAAAATAGAAGCCAGAAAGCTAGATTTCATACGAAATCATCAGATTAAAAACAAATGAAGCTCATAGTTTTTTAAAGCAGCTTTATTGAGATAACTTCGCAGATCATACACTTCGTCCATTTAAACTGTATGATTCGGTGGATTTTAATGTATTCAGGGACATGAGCCACCATCACCACAGTCAGCGTAGGTCATTTCCATGACATCGGCAGTAAACCCCAGACTCTTTAGGCATCACCACTGTCCTGCCATCGCCCCCAGCCCCAGGCAGCTGCTAATCTGCTGTTCGCCTCAGGAGATTCGCCTGTTCCAGAGAGTTCCTGCAAATGGAATTCTAGACTCTGTGGTCTTTATCGACGAGCTGCTTTCACCTGGCCTGATGTTTCCGAGGCGCGTCCACGTCGTAGCCCGTATCCGGGCTCCGTCCCTTGTTACGGCTGCGTAGTCCTCCGCGGTGCGGAATGCTGCGTGTGATCGTTCATCTGTTCGTGGGCACCTGGGTCGTTTCCTCCTTTTGGCCTCTGTGAGCAGCGCAGCTGCGAACTTCTGTGTGCAGGTTTCCACTTGAACACTGGTTTTCACTTTGGGGCAGCATGTACCTGGGAGAGGTGGGACACGTGGCGACTCTACGTTTAACTTTCCGGGGACCTGCCCGACTGCTTTCTGCACCATTTCACATTCCCACCAGCAAGCTGGAGGATACCCATTTCTCTATAGCCTCACCAGCACTGGGCATTTTCCTTTGCTTTCCTTAAAAAACTTTTATTTTTGCTGTTTATGCTAGCCTTCCTATATGAAGTAGTGTCTCATTTCGAAGAGCTCATATTTTTGGCAAACACCGTTTAGACCAAAGAAATTCCTTCTATCAGCTTGTTTGCTAAGTGCAGCTTTACTAACAGGCCACGGCCTAGGCCCGACGTTGCAGGCCTCTGTGTCCCCTCCCCTGTCCCCGAGCCCAGCCCAGGAGGCCCAGCCTCCCTTCAGTACGCCCCTTCTCTTCCCTCAAGCCCTTTGGGATGAGGTCTCTGAGTGGCAGGTGCCAGGATGACTGTGAGCCCTGCAATGTGGGGTTTTAGGCCAGTGGTCCCCAACCTTTCTGGCGCCAGGGACTGGTGCGCCTATGAGCATCTAATGCCCGATAATCTGAGGTGGCGTTGAGACGGTGGTGCCAGGGCTGGGAGCGGCTGCAGACACAGATGGAGCTTCGCTCGCTGGACCGCCGCTCACCT